GGTGAGAAAAGCCGCTCCGCGTCTCCCTGGTCTGCTGGGGGGAAGCGCCCCCCGCACCGCCGGAGGTGGCGACAGTGGGGGAGGCACCCCGCACTAGCGGCCCCCCCCCGGTTCGTAACTAGGGGTCCGACGTAAGTCGGACCGACGTAACCCGGGGACTGCCTGTACTGACTCTTCTCTCCATGCTAAGATCAAAAACTTTCCACCTTGAAAACTCAAAATGGATTCTAAACCTCTTGGAACTATAGACCTCCTGTAATTGAAAGTTAGCATTAAAATTATGCACTATTTTGGGCAACAGCTTGCATGTGATGTAATTTTAACACTTACATGTCAGAAACGTTCAGTGTACAATACTTCCTATGAGCCACAGAAAAGAGGCTTCAGTCTCCTGATGGCAGGCAGTATTTCAAAGGTATTGCCTTTGAAATACCTTAAAAATATGTGTCTGTGTGTTATATATATAAATAAGTGTATTGGCCCCCTCCCGCCAAGTATATGCCCTGGGCTGCTACAGGTAACAATGCAGGGACAATTTTCTGTGACTTATAATGACAGCGTGCACAGATCTGGATATCTACACACAGCCTTGACCTTCCTAGCAAATTGCTAACTACCCCACCCCTACAGCATCCTTTCCCATACTTACTGGTCTTCCGACCTACATCTAGGATGCCAAAGATCTAACTAGTCAGGCAGTCTCTTTGAATAGCCTGATGTCACAAGTTTCATATTTCATCTGAAAGTGATAATTTGTATCATTGTTCAAAATTTAAACTGAACGTGTGATCTAATGATTTAAAATCTCTCAATCAGTGTCCTATATAATCTAGTCATTGAATTTGACATAGAATCCACCCCTCTCTGCCAAAATGTGCTCCAAGATTTAAGCTTAGCTCCTAAAACCATTATAATACAAATAAATCAAAACATGGTAGTACTCAGAAACCTTAACTCGGATCAGAGCTGCATTTTGCTGGGCTGCACACATATATTAAGAAACAGTCCCTATCCGACAGGGCCTAAAATCCAATTAAAAATACTTTTTAAAAGTGAGTGTCATAAACACAAAGGAAGAAGAATCAAGGTAATAGAAAACAGAGGCTAAAGTGGTAAACGAGAGGCAATCTTTGACAATTTAATTATAAAATTAAATAGAGAACAGTAAATCTAATGACCCTTTTGGTCTTCCTCCCAGTCCCCCCCACAAAAAACCCTTTAAAATCGGAACTATGTGAAAACCAATGCATTGTTGAATTCCCAAGTCTACAAACCCTTTAACAGCTTCTGAGACATTAACCACTTCCATTCATGTCAGCAGATGTTGACATTTTAACTGCTAATTATTTCAACTGATCATTTTTGCAGAAGTTTCCAAAGATCCCACAATTCCCTTACTGACAGAATCCCCAAATGTCCCCTCTTTGGTTGCAAAGATTGCCAGCTTCTTCTATTATAATTTCTACAAGTTACACCTCTGAAATCCAGTACTCTCTAGTCCGGCAACATCCACAGTGCAGCAAGACCACCGGATGCTCCTGGACCAGCAGGAGGTCCAGCAGCCTGGCAGCGGTTGGGGCCCCATAGCAGTGCTGGGTCAAGGACAGGAGAATCCCAGCAGCCTGCAGCAGTGCAGAGCCAGGGACTGGGGAGTTCTAGGAGCCCATGGCAGTCCACGCTTGGGGGTCAGAGAAACTTGGGTGCCTGTGGCCGTGCGGGGCTGGCTGCCTGTGACAATGCAGGGCTGGGGAAATCTGGTTGCACATGGTAGCATGGGCCAAGGCTGGAGAACCCTGGCCGCCAAAAAGAGCCTGGGGCTTTTGGCCAGCTGCAGCAGAGCAGGGGAGAGGGTAAAAGGGGCCAGAGGTAGGGGACTGGCTGGCTCGTCGCTGGGGATACCGCCCCAGTCCAGCAAATTCTCTTGTTCGGGACTAGTCAGGTGCCGACTGTGCCGGACCAGGGAGGTCCAACCTTTATAATGTAGTTTGTGTGTTGCAAATACAAAATCCAGCAGTGCATTCAAATTTAAGAAGAACAGTAAAATAATTCTATTCGTTATCAAAACAATACACGAGATAGTTCAAAAAAATATCATTTCAATTTAGGATTGTCAATTTTTGAATTTAACTGTAATCATTACAGAATTCAGCATGGACATGCAATACCAAGGAAGTCTTGTAACAAAATTTAGGATCAGACTGGTCCACAGGAGGAACAAAGAATGAAAAGCAAATATACGGAGAGGCTTTTTGAGATATCAATCTGTACCACATTAGGTAGTTCTGACTCCTTCCCTTCCACAAAAACCACTTATTCAAAACACTGCTCCTCTTGGGTATGAAGAATGTGCACAGTTGGGAACCATAACCAACCACGACTCTGTTAAAGCCTGCCTGATGGAACTATTAAATGTCTATTTAGGGTTAAATTACTTTTGCTGGAAAACTATGTACCGCAAAGCAGGCACTGGTAGACTACGTGAGAACCACTGTACCAGGCAAAAAACTGGGGTATTTTATCGGTCTCAGATTTGTTTAGCTTCAGATACCTGTCTGGGAAAATCAAACTATTTTTGTCATTATCTTACAAAAAGAGTTTCTCCTTTGCACTGGATAGCATTGAGAAATTCTGAAAATAATTACCTATGGATTCTTGTAGACAAAATTCATTTGAATTGTACCTTTATAGTTAAGGGTAGCTACTTGAGATTTTAATCCAAGCAACAGGTTGTGCTTGCAGAGAAAGCCTTTCTATTTTTTTTCCTTTTCAAGAAGGTATGTTAAAGGGACAGTCCAAACATTGGGGGAGCAGATTAACTGGCAAAAAACCTTTCATATCTCCATAAACTTGGAGGAACACAACTAAACTAATACTGGACAGAGTGAGCAAGATATGGCAAAAATGATACAATGCAAATAGTAACACTTTCCTGAAGTATTATTAGCAGCAGCGTATACAACAGGATACAGCAGCAGAAACTCATAGAAGCCCAAACCTACAAAAGGCTAAAAACAACCCTCCAATCATAACATAAGAGCAGCTGAGCCTCAGTAGGGGCCTAGAAGCCCTGTAACAAAATAAATTCAAGAAGTCAATTAGGTGTGGACATGATCACTCCCAAAAGCAACACATTCAAAATCCCAGGTTAACTGAAACTCTCAGTTATCTTTCACTTCTATCCTTTTGGGTTGCATTGTGAATTTACACTTCAGGCAAAACAAGGCCAGAATCGTGTACACTGCCTATCAGAACTTCATCATTCCACTGTAGGCCTAGGAGACTAAAAGTACAGCCCAACCAGAGCATGAAAGCTTTGAAGTCTGTGGTTATGCAGTTTGGTCCTATCTCCCATATTTCCTGAATCCTCCATGATCAGATACTTTAAATACAGTTCAGATTTCCAGAAAGTGGGCATTCAAACCTTTACTACCAACCTCTCCCCCCCCCCAAAAAAAACCAAAAACAAAACTAGAATGGATCAAAATCCTACTAAGCTTAAAAACAATGAACCTTAAAAGCCAACCTACACATTGAGCAAAAGTGACAAAAAAAATAATCTATAGAATAGGCACATCCAAAAATCTCAAAGCAGTTTTCAAACACTACACAGTGTTTTAATATTTTTCTTCCCCAGAGAAGAATCAAAACACCATGAAATCTGTCACAGAGTTATCATGTGGAGCAGAAGACAAATGTGATGACCCAGATATGGCAACATTTAAATGGTACTGAAAATCACATGTGGCTATTCTGAAGTAGAATCTTGAAACAAAGCGTGGCTTTGTATGTCACGCCAGCAGTGCAGGTTTTAATGCACCTTGTAAATAGCATTCATCTATACAGCCCTGCATACATATCAACAAAAATGAGCCATGAATATAAAGCGGCTATCCGCACATTTGCAGGGCTCTATTAATCTGAGAGACAGGTAACTAGAAAGATCTATATATTGTCAACTCTCTTTTGCATCCTAGCAAAATTCTGGTTTCTTTCAGCATCAATATGGTAAACTGAGCAAAAGGTCATTTGATAAGGATAGTCAGATCAACAAACAAGTATTTCTATGATACTGCACGTGTCAGAAATTTATTCCAAAGTGGTAAACTATACTCACAAGCTTTCCATTCCCATTTACCCTGTTACTATTCTTGCACGGGTTGTGTTCATCCCAGAAAACCTACCATGTGGTAGCGTTATGTTCGCACCATCAATGATTGCTTGTGCCAGTTCATGATCATTGCTCTCAAATGCATGTGCAGCAGCCTTGAGGGCATCCCAAATCTCCTTGCGGCCCTCAAAAGCTGGTGCTGTGTCCCAAAACTCATCTCTTTTACTGCGCAGCTGTCCATCCGTCATTGGGTAATCGCTTTTCCATTTTGGTTTCTCTTTTTTCAAGGGTTGATTACGACCTAAAGCAACTGTAGAAAAAGATACAAGCAAACATTACTAAAGCCAACTTGGTTATATTTTAGTTGTGAGCAGCTTTAGCTTTCTTTATGGAAACTGGTCTTTGGAAGCTCTCCAACCCTACTTATGCTCCCTAGACTACAGGCAGTCCCCGGGTTACATGGATCCGACTTACATCGGATCCCTACTTACAAATGGGGTGAGGCAACCCCGCACTAGCTGCTTCCCCCCAGCAGACCAGGGAGACGCGAAGCTAGTGCCCCCTCAGAAGACCAGGGAGACGTGGAGCGGCTTTTCTCAGCAGACACCTCAGCTTGAGAATAAAGGACTGAGGAAAGGGAGGAGTGTGAGAATAAAACTGAGCTCTGGAGAAATGTTTGGCTGGAGTTTCCCCTACAAAATGTACCAGTTCCGACTTACATTCAAATTCAACTTAAGAACAAACCTACAGTCCCTGTCTTGTACATAACCCAGGGACTGCCTGTACTGTAATTTCATTTTTAAGGGTCCTTTCAAAGTTTATTCCATCAGATTTTACTCTTCTATTCTATCAGGGGTTTTCCTTCCACTCTCCAATTATACTTGTCTCTCTAAAGGTCTAAAGATTCCCTGGGTGTCCTTGAACTTTTCTCCACACTCCCCTGGTAACTATGTCTTCTCTCCTTATGCCATCTGCTACAGCCTGCATGAGTTATTCATAAAACAATAGAAATCTTTCAGCAAGCTACAACTATACAACGAAAGATGCATATTAACTAATAGTATCCCAGTGCCCGAGGCAATATTTTCTTTTCTATTCTGCATAAAATTATGCTCCTCTACTAACTATAAGAGTTTTATAAAACAAAGTATTTTTCACGGTTTTCTTTTTACAACTTATTTCCCTTTTTTGCATTTATTCACTGTTAAATATTTATGTCTTCAATGCTAAAATCTTAGTGCAGACAAAAGTCTCTAAAGAACATACTGTAACTGTTTACAAGACTGCCATAGCGGATACTTCATTTACATGAAATATTTGAGAATTTGTTTCACTTTAATTATAGTGATATTCATTTAACAGAGAGACCGCTAAAAAGGAATCATACAAGTTTCCTGACATAACATTAGGACTACTGGTTCAGATTTTAAGGATTGTGAAGAACCGCCCAATCTGCAAGCATGAGTTAGTAAAGAAAGAAATGATTCCTTTGGCTTTGTTAGCGCTTTGCCCAGCAGAATAGTAATTGAGCATAACAATAAATATCTCTGCTTCACCAGGGATGTCAAATCTGGGTGACGCTGTGCCGTGCCTAGCGCGCTGCCCTGGTCCCTGCAGTGCGCCCTGAAGAAACATCCCTCTCCCTTCCACGTCTGGTCTCTCTCATCCACAACCCAGAGCAGCACCGCCCTGCCGGGTATCAGTCTGTGGGAGCGTTGGGCACTGCTTTCCAACTTCCTTTACCAAGTGATAACGTGTCTGCTTTCAAACCAGCTTTTCCCATTAAAATGCATGCCCCTTGTTCCATGGGGCTATGTTACAAATTGTCACCTCATTCCCTGCATGATAGGAGAGCGATCACATCTCTTCAAGTGTGAGTGTCTTAGGCTGAACATATTGCCAGGATTATGTTGCTTACAATTTTCATCACATTGCGCAGGTGGAAATGAGTTCTCAGCAGTTTCCCCGTTCTGGAGCCCCTCCTGCAGGACTAGGACAAGCACCACCCCCAATTTCAAACAGTGATTTCTAAAGCCAGAAATGTCTGCTATTTTGGCATCCAGGAAACAATTTCACCATTCACACTAATACAGGTGTTCATGTGTAGTGTATCAATGTGTTATTAAATAATAACTGAATAAAATAATATTAAATAAATAATTAAAAACAACATCCATGTTTTGATTGTTTTTTATTTGGACCTCAAGTGTGTAGTCGGCCCCCGAACTGCTGTTTGATAGTTAATGCGGCCCTCGGGCTGAAAAGTTTGGAGACCCCTGTTATAGACTATAAGCATCCCATCCCCCCTTGAAGCCTCTGTACCAGAGGCAGCAAGGGCAGGAGAAGCAGGAGACAGTATTGTAAGGAGCCAACTTTTATGCTGGCTGCCCACAAGCACTGGATCCACTGAGAAGCAGCAGAGCGGAGGATGAAGGGGGCAGGCAGGAGCTGGTACAGGCAGGAAGCCAGCTTTCAAGCCAGCTCCCTGAGAGTATGGGCTCACAGGAGCCACTTAGGCAGGAGCTGATACCTGTGGGCAACTGCCGGCTCTTTTCACATGCCAGTTGCATGGAGCAATCTGCCCCCCCGTTCCCTCTTCCCGCTGCCTCTATTAAAGGCAGCAGGGGGTGGGGTAGAGGCTGCCACCACC